CGGCGCGGCGCGCAGTGTGGACCCGGCTCCCCCCAGCTGCTCCCCTCCCTGCTCCCTCTCTTCCTCCCTTTACCTTGACACTGTTTCTCATCCATCCCGGGGCTGTGCCTCTAAGTGTGTCATACTCCACTAGGAGTGGCCGGCGGGTGTCACCTGTCCCCGCCCCCAGATGACACCCAGGTCAGGTCACCTTCAAAGCCACATGGCCTTCCCTGCCCCTTGGGGATGCTTGAGTACCTCCACAACCCCCGGAGTGAGGGTGCTGAGTCACAGCAGGGACAGGCTGGCAATCTCTCCAGACACAGCCAGGGGCCTCCGCAGGGCTGCCTCAGTTTACCCCGAGGCTCTCCCATCCCCCACACTGCCCTTCTCAGCTTGCTCTTTTGAAGACAGTCGATGGGCACTTACAGGTGCTGCTCTCATGTCCCCAGTCCCACGAGGGCTGGGCCCTTGGCCCTCCCTGCTCCATGCCTCGTGCAGTCATAGTTGGCACCCATTTCCCTTGTGCTTCTTTTTGCATCATCATGTGTCCCAAGTCTGTGCTTTCCGACCTCTCCCACCTGGCAGTTCCCCAAACTCACCCTGCTGGCTCGTTTTGTCAGAGGGTCTTTCTGTTCGACCAAAGGGGAAACTGAGGCTCAAATCCTGAAGACACCAGCCTGGGATGCAGAGAAAAGTGGTTCTCCTGTCTCTGAGGTGCCTGGTGCTTTCCTTCCCTCAGATCCTTCCGCTGTCCGTGCCAGCCCGCCCCTTAGGACCCGTTCCCTTGGCCAGATCACACAGGACCCCGCTCAAGGCCTTCGGTGGCACCCCTGCAGCCCTGAGCAGAGTCCCTACTCCCTCGGGAACCTGACAGTTCAGCCTCCCTCCTCCAGGAAGTCCTGCTGCAGCCTTTGCTCCTGCCCACCTTGTCTCAGCCTCCTCTCCACTTGACCCCCTCCACGAAGCTCCCCTGACCTCAGCATGCCTCCAGGGACAGCTCTCCATTTGCACAATTTCTCCGTTATTTCTGTCCCTCTCCTAAACAGACAGCCCCAGCTGCAGCTCCACATCACAAACCCCCAGCTGGAAGTTTCTAGCCAGTAGCAGTTGCTGAGTAAACAGGCTGGAGCGAATGAGTGACCAGAGAGGTGGGCCTGGCCCTCACACTCACCACCCCATGTGCCCTGCATGGGACAGTTCTTTAGACTTTGGTTCATTCTCTATGTGTCTCGACCAAGGCCCTGTGAGGAGGGCAGTTCATCAGGCGCGTCTAGAGAAGGAATCTGAGGCTCCGCCATGACCAGGGCTGGGCTGATGGTCCCTTGATACTACCCAGTCAAGATTCAGTCAGACTCCCCAAGAACAGCACCTGGGGACCTGCCCCACAGTCCCTTCTCTCTCATGCCCACTGGGGAGCATGAGCTCCGAGCCTCTCCCCATCCTGCCCTGAAGTCAGGTGAGGGGCGCACAGTGACGCAGCTCTCCCCAGGAGGGGACTCACTTGTGGCTGGTGGGGTCACAGGCTGGGTCTCAGTTTCCCCATCTGCAGAAGGGGGATAACAATGCTCACTTTATGGGACTGTTTAATAAGCAGGGAGCCATTGTCCTGGCCTGACCCCAGGGGGAGGGGGGTGAGCAGAGGTGGGGGTGAGGAGGGGAAGAGGAAGCAGCATGGGAACAGCAATAAAGGGTTTATCTCTCTTGTCCCCGCATCACCATCTCTGTCTCCTTCCCACCCAGACTTCATTTCCGGCTGTCACTCAGGGTCCCTGGTGGGCTCAGGACACGGCTCTCCTGTGATTATGACAGACTTAGCCCTGGAGCCAGAGGGAAGGACGGAGCTGGGGTCCATTCCTTGCTCTGCACTGGGGCGGGCGGGGCACTTTGGTGCCCACAGGGCTTGGCTTTCCCCTCTGGCTTGGCTCCTAGTGTTGGCAGTGATTGCCCTGGGGAGGGCCAGACATGCTGGGAGACCAGCCTCTGCACAGCTGTGCCAGGGGCGCCCATTTGGGGACAGTGGGGAGGCCCTGCAGTCCTGGTCCCGTGCCAGAAGCCAGGGATGTGCCCTGATGGTCACCACGGGCCCTCCTTCCGCCCAGGTGGGGAAACAGAGGCTCAGACTCTAGTGGCTGGCCCAGAGTCACACAGCCCTAGGGTGGCAGAGCTGGGACTTGAACCTGGGTGTGTCTGGCCTGAATGCTTAGCCACCGGAAGCCCCCCGCACCTCCGGGCTGTTTCAGAGTGTGGTGTGAGACTCTCGCCAGGGAAGTGAGTGGATGAATGCTTTCTGACTCCCCAGCCTAGGGTCTGGGTGCTTTTCTTATTTGCATTCTACAGCAGAGGAAGCCTGGCTCAGAGAGGCTTAGATTAGTAACCTAGGTCACACAGCAGTCCATCTCCCGCCTGTCTCACAAAATCTGAGGACACAGAGGTATTAGGCCTCTCCTGGCCATGGAGGGGCTGCTTGTCAGCTCGGGGGCCTGCCATCTCTTTGGAGCTGCCCAGTCCCCCCCATGGGTCAGGCATAGTAGTGAAAGCAGGGATCAAGTGCTGTGACCTGGAGTCTGGCAGTCTCAGCCCCTGTTTAACAGGCCTGGCTTCCAGCCACTGTGCAAGCCCAGCAATCTGACCCCCTTTCTCTGCTCCCCTGAGGTTTGGCAGCATCTGCTGTGAGGGGTCATCCTTGGAGCTGGTCAAGTAGTAGCTTCGTCCACTCTTAGATCCCAGCAGAGGCCCTTGCTGCTCAGCCCAGGCCACCTCCCACTGGAGAGCCTCCTTCCTCGGCCCTCAGCTGTGCTGTGTTTGAGGTTCTTACAGAGCCTCACCCCTTTGCTCTGCAGCCCTCCTCGGCTCCCACTACCTGCGGGGTGAAAGCCAGACTCCTGATAAAGCACTTCTCGAACCTCAAACTCCTCCTCACCCCCCTGCCCCCCCTCCCCCTTGGACCATATTAACATGTGGATCCTGACTAAACAGGCCTGGGTGGGCCTGAGGAGCTGCCTTACTGGCAAGCTTTTGGTGATGCCAGGGCTGGTCCTGGGACCACACTCAGGGGCGCAAAACCTTAGCACCCCTTCCCAGCCTGGCACCCTCTATTCCCTCACTAGCCACATGGGATTGCGTTTATGGACACACACCCGCAACAGCTGTCCTCTTCTTTGTCATGTTTCCATCAGTCCTGTAAAGTCAGGCTTCAAAATGCCCACAGACAGAGCTAACTGGCCCTCATCTGCCCTTCTGGAGCCCTTTACAAACCCCCAAAATCCCAAGAAGCCCCTCACAACTCCTATAAGAACAGATTTCTTAGGTGTGAGCCTGGCTCCACTCTTACGGCTGCGTGATCTTGGGCAACTTGCTTAACCTCTCTGTGCCGAGTACGTGTTTAAACTCTGTCTGCTTCCAAAACGGACCTACAGTTTCTTCCAAATACTCTGCATAAAACCAAATGAAAATGTGTGCGGCGGGCTGATGGGGGTGGGCAGAGGCTGTTTCCCGACTCCCTCCCGGGGTCTCGGTCCCCGGTGGCTGGCCTGGCAGGCTCTCCGAGAAATGCTGCACCAAAGCTCTCCCATAACCCACAGCGTGACCTTTCCAGGAGCTTCTCATCCACCAAAGTAAATTCCAAAGGAAAAGCGAGAGAGACAGACATGGCAAGGCTTCCGATCGCAAATCTTAATCGCTCATTTAGATGCATCTGTAGAGCGAGCAAATATTTCCCTAGGAGAGGAGGCGGATGTACGCCACAGGCTGGCGCGCCACACAGCCCCCTCCCTGAAAGGGCTGTGCTTGAGGGGTGAAGGCAAAGGGCTGTCAGGACAGCTCCTGTGCCAAGGGGGCCGAGATCACTTTCTTCCTGCATGGAGCTGAGATTGTCCCAAAGTGGCCCTGGCGTCCTGGTCAAGGGCAGGCTCTTCATCGTCAGCCTTGTGCTGGCCGCCAGGCGCCATGGACCCGCTGAGCGCCTGCACCCTGCCCGCCGGCCTGGGCATCCCGGCACCGCCTCTCTCTATGACCCCGTGCTCACCATCCCTCCTGTGGCCAGAGCGTGGTGCTTCTCTTTGACCTCTGGCCTCAGTGCTGGCCTAAAGGGGCTTTGCCTGGACCCTGCCCCTGGGACGTGCCAGAAGTCGCCCAAGGCAGAAGGCCCCTTTGAGAGTGGGCAGCAGGGGGAGAGCGCGGACCTGCGGCTACAGGGGCCACAGGGTCTGGATTGTTTGGGAGGTGCCATCTGGACTGGATTCTGTGGTGGGTGTCAGTGGGGGGGAAGCCACTTGCTGCTGGACACAGAGCAAATCTGAGCCCTGCTGTTCCCACACGTCCAGGCCCCGGCTACACAGCGCTATGTGTAGGGCAGCCCTCTCCCCAGCCCACGCGGGAACTGGCCTCAGTGGATGCTGCCACACGCGGGGGGGCATGGAGAACTAGAGGAGGGGCCTTGCTGTCTGCGTTGGGTGGCCCGGGTGGGTCCTGAGCTGGTAGGGCGGAACCTCGGAGCATGCAGGAGGCCCAGCTGGGGCTGGGGTGAGGCCAGCTGCCCCTGCCCATCAAGCCCAGAGGCAGTCGGCTCTCTCGCCCTGCCCCGGAGCCGGAGCCGGGTGGGGCGTCCCGGGCGCCTGTGTGTGGCAGGCTGCTGGGCTCATAGGCCCCGGTTCCCACCTAAAGCAAAGAAGCTGAGGCTGGGGGTCTCAGTTGGGCACTCACACCTCTGAGCAGGGACGGGCAGGACAAGGGCCCGGAGCAGTCACTTGCCGAAGTCCCGGGCAACTTAGGAACAGCCCGGCCTCACCTGCCAGGGGCCCGGGCAAGCCCCAGAGGCGTGTCTCCAAGATCCTCACTCAGCCTGTAGCTGTGGGAGTGGACGGCGCTGAACCCCAGCCAGGAGCCGACTGTGACAGGGCCGTGTCCCCTTTAAGCAGAGAGCCGCCCGCGGCAGTGGGTGGACTCGGGGCCCAGCCAGTGGGAGCCTGAGGCTCCCTCCCACAGCCCCTCCCGGGGGAGGCAGGGAGGGGCCGAGCAGCGTGGCTGTGGCTCCCGGGGGAGTGAGAGTCTGGTGGGCAGCAGCAGGAAGACAATAGCAGACATGCTGTGTGGGCTCAGCCGGGAGACCCCTGGGGAGTCGGGTGAGTAGTGGGGGTCCCATATGCAGAGTGATGGGACTGAACCTGCCGGCCCCTCTGGAGCTGCTGTCCGGGGGCAGGACGCTGGGGCAGCTCAGACGGGCACTGCCACTCCACGGAGACCGGGGCTGGGCGAGCACGCGGGCGGGACCCCGAGGTGGGCAGGCGAGGGGCTGTCTGGCTGGCTGGCACGTCCTGCAGCGGGGGCCGGGTGGCAGGGCTGTCCGGGTCAGGCGCGGGGGGCAGGCGCGGGGTGCAGCAGGTCTGGAGGGCAGCGCTTGGCTCAGCCTCTGGGGAGGAGAGTCCCGTCTTGCCGTGAGCTGGTGGGACTGAGCTCCCTGCCCAGAGGTGTGAGTGCCCAGGCCAAGGTCGGGTGGTGTAGAGGGAGCTTTTGTGTCCCGTGGGAGGGACTGGACCTTGGGGCAGGGGCAGAAGTCCCAGCCGCCGCTGGGGTCCGGGAGATGGTGAGCAGGGGTGTCACACAGCTGGCGCGCTCCGGGGTGGGCCCAGGCAGGGACCTGGCAAGGGCTCTGGGGCAGGCACGGTTGCTATGTCCTGCTGGTCCCCCAGCCCCAGCTCCTCCTGGTGGACTGGTCTTGCTTCCCCAGCGAGGGGCCGGCCCAGCCTTCCCTTGGTGCTGGGGCCCCTGTGGCCCCTCTTCCACTCTTGCTGTTGAGGTGCCCTTATGTTACTCCAAGGGCGGGGACTGTGCTCCTGGGGCACAGATGAGGGTGCTCGGAGCGGGCGGTGGCCAGGCCAGGGCCCGACAGCTGCGGCAGAGCCCGACTCTGCTTCCCAGGTCCCGGTCAACTTGGCTGCCGCCTTCTCACCCTGGCAAGGACCAGTGACCCGGTCCCTCCAGGCAGAGCTGGCCACTGGGCGCTCCTGCTCAGGCTGGGCTCCATCCCAAGCCCCCTCTGCCTTTTCTCATTTGCTCCTCACAGCGCTGTGAGCCGGGCTGGTGTCCTGAAGAAGCTGAGGGGCAGAGCTGATACGTGACCTGTCCTGGGCAACGCAGCCAGAGTAGCAGGGCCGGGATTCGACCCCCGTGACTGGACGATAGGTGGAGGCATTGCCTTCCCAGCCCGGGCACATTTCTCCTGACCAGAGGCCCCAGGGGAGGGGGCCACTCTGTCCTGCAGAGGTCCCAGCCACAATGGCAGTGATGTCCCAGAGACCTCCCCTGGGGCGCTGCCAGGGAGCTGTCTTCCCCCTCCCAAAGAGCTCTGGACCCTACCTGGGCTCAGGCCTCAGCATTCCTTCAGCTCTGCCTGTCTCCCCCGGCCTCCTCAGCTCCACACCCCCTAACCCCCTGCCTCCATGTTGCCATGGAAGGAAACTGGCTAAAACTCAGATCTGATCACAGCTCTGGTGCTATCACTCAAGGCTCCACACAAGCCTCCCTGGTTTTTTTTCTCTCTTCGATGACCTGACTACCTCCCTGATCAGGGCAGCCTTGTCTCCCCACCTAGTCGTAGAACCTTACCTCCATTGCGGTTGATGTCAGCAGTGAGGTTCTTTGTAGAAAAGTCCAAAGATGGAGCTTCAGGCATAGTGGGATCCAGGTGCTCAGTTAACATCGTGAGGCCAGGTCTCTTCATTTCTCGCTCCACTTCTCTGCAGATATTTGTTTTCAGGCAGATTGTCCTTTCCTTGAAGTGTCTAAAGGGTCTTTCAAACTGAATACCAAGCAGCTCAGTCTTCCTTAAGAGAACCTGTTTCTAAGTGTCCCAGCAAACATCCCAGGGCCAACTCGTGGAACCAGCCCTGACTGGGCAGCCAGGCCTAGTCATGTGGCCTCCCCTGGAGCAGGGGGCTGAAGGCACCAACAGGTAGCCACTCTGTACACCCCCACATTGGCACAGAAGGCCGAGGCCCTGCGCAGTCAGACTGCTCGCTGTGCCCGTCAGTGGGTGCTTAGCTTGGGTTGGTGTCTGTGGAATGTGCAGCCCAGTGCCCTTTCTCTGCCCCCAGCAGATTCCTGCTCTGAGTCCCTTCCTCAGGCCACACCCATCATGCCCAATCCTAGTACTGGGAGCTTCGTGTACCCTCCCCACAGAGCCCCCACTATCCCTGAGCCCTTGCAGGAAGGGATGTGACCAGGGCTGGGCACACAGTAGGCTTGAACAGACTTTACCAGGAAGTGCCCCCCCACCCCCTGCGGTGCATCACTCTCTCTGACTCCCCTCACAAAGGGATCATTGTTCCCAGCGCCTGGGAAGGCTTGGGCAGGGTGTGTGTGGAGGGGGTCCTTTTGGCATGGCCTGGGCTGCCCACTTCTCTGAGGAGGCCTCACTGTGCCATGGGAGCTTTGGTCATGAGGGTGACCCCAGGTCCACAGAGGCTAAAACTGGGATGGGGTCATGTCCTGTCCTGGGCCAGCCACAGTGGTGGCTCCAGGCCCTCGGTGCCGCTCACCTGGGCGCTGTCCATCTTAAGGAAAGGGGCAGCAGGACTGCCCACCTCTCTCTGTCATGCCCATGACTCCTGGCAACCCCGACAGACCCAGCCTGTGGGTGCTTGTGCCCTAAAGCGGGGCCTTCCCAGCTACCCCTCATTGGAGTCCACCATCCTTGGGTTTGGAGGGAGAGACCCCAGGGTTGAAGACGTGGTCTACTGGGGGTCAGAGAAACCTGATGCCAGCGGACTGAGCTCTGGCCTGTCTCCTCCCTTGTAAAATGCGGGTCATCTGTGAGCCTTCCCTGGTCTTTGTTTTCTCCCCAAATTTATTGATTTGCCAATCGTTTACACAGCTATATAATTTGGGAAGGACAACTTCACGCCTCCCTACGTGCAGCCGCGCGGCCTCACTCACCCTCCAAGAAGGCTAGTTCCAAAATGTTCACTTCCCCACCCCCTTCTCCCCCACCCCATCCTCTCCAGTATATTTACTTTCTAAATCTACTCACACATTTCTCATTGTTTCCCTTAAACACATGCTTGAAAAGGATGAAGAGTCCCTCTGAGGCTGACCTGATCTTCCCAGCTCCTCCCCGTCCACCTCCGGCCACCCCATTGAGGTTCGTGGCCCTGGGGACTGGGCTGCATTCCCAGGTCAGCCTGCCCTGTAGCCATCCATCCAGCTGTCTGCCCTGGGCCCGCGGAGGGGCCAGGGAGGGGTGCTGTTCTGGAGGGAGTACTCAACGGGGCCCCAGCCAGAGAAGATGCAGGGCCACAGGCATTATCCCCAGTCCCCCCAGGACAGCCATGGGGAGGGAAGAACAGGCTGGTGGGACCTGCCCGCCACTTGGGGCTGTGTGACCCTGGGTTGTTCCCTTAACCTCTCTGTGCTTCGAGTTTCCTCCTCTGTAACATGGGTGTGATAAGATTATCATGTGGATAAAGTTAGATGACCTTCAAGCTCTCAAAACAAGGCCTGAGGGCCTCTCTGGTGGGGCAAGGGTTAAAGTCTCAGCGTTATCAAGCTATTGGCAACCACTTGTAGCATGAGTTCGACCCCTGGCCAGGGAGCTGACCCACAGGGCACGCAGACCTCTCCTGCCTTGCCCGCTGCTCCCCTCAGCAGTGTATTTCAGTCAGTCTGCCTGTTCTGTTCCCCACTCTGGTGAATCCTCTTACCCTCCCCCACCCCTGGCCTGTAGCCCAGTTCCTGTATGCATAAATAAATAAAATCTTTTTTTAAATAAAACAAAACAAGACCTGAGTTCAAATCCTGCCCTTACTCCTTACCATGTGATTTAACTGCTCAGTTGCCCCATCTCAGAAATGGGGAGAAGGATCATACCGTGGCGAAGGCCGGGAGGATGAAATGAGATAATGCTTGAGAAGCAAGTAGCACAACACCTAGCGCTTAACCAACAGGAGTTGCCACCATTACTAACTTAGAAAACCTTTGCGGGAGGGAGTAAAGGAGGGAGCCATGATGCTTTGTCCCACATTATCACACGATTCCTGCTGACCCACGAGGTGGGGACCAGTGCCTATGGTGCAGGAAGGAGGCCGGGGGCTGGGAGGAAAGCCCCTTGTCCCCCATGCCTGGGCCATTGGATGGCAGCTTTCGACTCTGCCTCTGCCTCCCCCCTTGGGCAGAGCCTCCGCTTGCATGGCCAGCACTGCTCCCTGGGGTTCGTGGAGCGGGATTGGCCCGTGGCCATCACTGGGTCTCGGTGGAGGGCTGTAGCCACAAAGCCAGGGGGCGGTGGGTCCCGGCCCACCATGCACCACTGGGCCTGGGGAGATGGGGAACCCCCCCCCTCTCTCCACTGGAACATGAAGGTGCTTGGGCGGCCGGTCACTGCCTGTCACTGCGGTGTTAACAGCTTGTCCCAAGTGGGGCCTCTGGCCATTTGTTTTTTCCAGTGGCTCCCTCTCAGACGCTGAATGCCCCCTCCCGGAGGCAGGGGAAGTGGGGTTCAAGGCCAAGTCCCAGCCTTTCCCGGCCCCCTCTCTCTGGTGCGCTTAGGCGGGACCCTGGCACAGGCAGCCTGGCCGGGGGCTGACTTCCTTTCCCTTTGTCGAGACTCAATAGCTCCCTGGGGCCTCGGAGAGATGGAGATAATGAAGGCAAATTAGCAACGATTTCAAGAGAAGTAAAATAGGAAAGAAACCCACCCGCCCACCCAGGCCTCAGCAGGGCGGGGCCAGGTGCGCTGCGGGCCTGCGCTCCTCACCGCCCCCCCCAGGCCTCCCCGCCTCCCGCCCGCCACATCCCGGCGTGGCCTGGCATCGCTGCGGAAATGAATTTCCCTCTGTAGCGAGTTTTTACAGGACGGATTGACTGAAGGCAAAAGCTCATAATTGCCCATTGCTGGAAGGAGGAGACAGGAAGAAAAAAACATGCGGATAAAAATATCTCTGTTTTTTATGCACGTTTCCAGCTGAAAATTGGTGGGAAAGATGTTTTTTGAAAAGCCTTCATCTCTAAGCATATAATTACCAGGTCCCGGAACAAAAACTGAGAGCGAGCAGGAGAAAGCAAGCATGTTCTCTGAGGCAGGAGGGCTGGGGTCTAAACCCTCGAGGGCTTTTCTATAAATAAAATA